ATCTTCCAATGTCTTCCCTGTGTTTACTGATTCCATTATCCATCTTTCCTAGCCCTTCCTGCCTTCCAAGATGTATCCTTGGGAAAATGCTGCCTTGTGATTTTACATGGTTGATTTGAAGGAGTGTTTACCACTCTGAAGCTGTTCACTTTATAGGCCTGTCGACTGCTTGGCTGAAAGTTGCACCCCTGGTGTGAGTTCATTTCCAGGCATGAAGGGTGACTAAGGGCCATTGTCTAGGAGATTATACCAGTCTCTATTGATTAGAAAGCCAGATTAAAAAAAACAAAACTGATTTTGAGTTTTGTTGCATACCCTCTCCAGGCTCTCCTACTGTGAACCCTTTCAGAGCGGTTGGCAGTGGTAGCTGGGCACCATCTAGTTCTTTTGGTCTCAGGGTCATAGAGGTTGGGTTTCCTCAGGTTCAATATTCCTTCGGACAAATTATTTCCAGGCACCTTTGATTCTCTTCAAATTTCTCTGCTCCAAATGGGGAGACACTACTGGTTGCACCTTTGGGGGCCACTAGCTAGCTTTTAAGGTCCCAGTGCTAGTCACCGAAGTAGAATATAGAACATGGTTATTATGCCAGTTGACCCTGGTGTCCCCCAAGACTGCAGCCCCGAGTTTCCAAACCCACTGACTCATTTCTTCGAGGTGCTACGACTACGTTTTCATGACTTTGCCCACGTATGTTCACTGATCTTCATGATTATAGTTACAGCACATATTAATACCAATGTGGGAATATCCTATGTCAAATATATATATTCATGGATATAGTTCCATTCACCTCCTGACCCTTGTTCAGCATGAGTGTGTCTGCAGTGTATCCACTCATATATTATTGTCATCACTGCTATTGCAGGTTTGGGCATGGCATCGCATGGACCTTTGTTGCCTTTAACTCTTGGGCTCCTCCTAGTGATTTCTTTTGCCTTGATAATCTCCTGTTCCTCTCCCCCTATTGTTCATTGCTTTGCCCTTCACTTAAGTTAATGTGGTGTCTTTGCTCTAGTTAGTCATTTATCCTCCCTTCTCCTCCCATCCCAGTTATCTTCATAGAATGTTTCTTGACTTTAAAAACAGTGATCTCATTGGGTCTCTATTCAAGTACTCCCTCAATGCAAGAACACTTTGTTCTATTAAACTGGCATTCCATGATGCTCACCTTCCCAACATTATCGCTGAAGACAAAGTGGGTGCATAAGCAAATGTGGTGAAGAAAGCTGGTGGTGCCCGGCTATCAAAAGATATAGCAACTGGGGTCTTAAAGGCTTGAAGATAAACAAGCAGCCATCTAACTCCGAAGCATCAAAGCCCATATGGAAGAAGCACACCATCCTGCATGATCATGAGGTGTCAAGAGGATCAGGCATCAAAGAACAAAAAATTATATCATTGTGAATGAGGGGGAATGCAGGGTGGAGACCCAGAGCCCATCTGCAGGCAACTGGACATCCCTTACAGAAGGGTCTCAGGGAGATGAGCCAGTCAGGGTGCAGTATAGCACCGATGAAACATACAACTTTCCTCTAGTTCTTTAATGCTCCCCGCCCCCCCACACCATTATCATGATCCCAATTCTACTTTTCAAATCTGGTTAGACCAGAGGATGTACATGGGTACAGATCAGAGCTGGAAACAGAGGGAATCCAGGACTGATAAGCCCTCAGGACCAATAATGAGAGTAGAGATATCAGGAGGGTAAGGGGAAGGTGGGGAAGAAAGGGGGAACTGATCACAATTATCTACATATAATCCCCTCCCTGGGGGACGGACAACAGAAAAGTGGGTGAAGGGAGACACTGGACAGTGTAAGACATGAAAAAATAATAATAATTTATAAATTATCAAGGGTTCGTGAGGGATGGAGGGGAAAAATGAGGAGCTGATACCAATGGCTCAAGTAGAAATAATATGTTTTGAAAATGAGGATGGCAA